TGCCTCCTCCTCCCTGGTGTTGCCTCCTCCTCCCTGGTGTTACCTTCTCCTCCCTGGTGTTACCTCCTCCTCCCTGGTGTTGCCTCCTCCTCCCTGGTGTTGCCTCCTCCTCCCTGGTGTTACCTCCTCCTCCCTGGTGCTGCCTCCTCCTCCCTGGTGTTGCCTCCTCCTCCCTGGTGTTGCCTCCTCCTCCCTAGTGTTTCCTCCTCCTCCCTGGTGTTGCCTCCTCCTCGCTGGTGTTCCCTCCTCCTCCCTGGTGTTGCCTCCTCCTCCCTGGTGTTGCCTCCTCCTCCCTGGTGTTACCTCCTCCTCCCTGGTGTTGCCTCCTCCTCCCTGGTGTTACCTCCTCCTCCCTGGTGTTGCCTCCCCCTCCCTGGTGCTCTGCATGGCTGTGGTAAGTGGAAGTAGAGGTAAGGAGGCATGGGGGTGAAGTGTGGGGAGGGTGGGAGGGTGGGGAGCTTGGGAGCTTGCAGTCAGGTCACTGCCTTAGGGACAGCATCCTCCGGGGTTGTGCCTTGTGGTGGTGGGGTGTGGTGGGTGGAATCTGCGCGGCACGGCACTCGGTGCTCAGGTTCCCAATCTGTCGTTCAAGGCTTAATGGACACCATCAGAGCCGACCGGCCGGCGGCTCTGGTTCGCGTCAGCTCTGGCTACGTCAGGGGTGGGATTTGAGTCTTGGGCTGGAAGCGATTTTTCACTACCACACCTCGCACTGCAAGGCACAGGCCCTGAGCGTGCTGATTCAGAAAGGAAGTGGGCTGTCTGCTGCTCCTACTGCTGGCAGGTAAGTTGGGGAGGGGATGGGTGGGCTGGGTGGTGGTGAGTAGCAGTGTGGTTGGCAGTGGCATATGATGAGCCGTAGGGCACTGATGCCACCTGTTGTTGGTGGCACATGATGAGTTGCACTGATGCCACCTGTTGTTAGTAGCACATGATGAGTTGCGCTGATGCCACCCTTGCATGTTGCGCATGAGTGGGTAAAAGGGGCTGAGCCCCCTTGGGTGGGTGAGAGCAAGTGAGAGGGGCTGAGTCCCTTGGGTGGGTGAGAGCAATTGAAAGGGGCTGAGTCCCCTTGGGTGGGTTAGAGCAAGTGAAAGGGGCTGAGTCCCTTGGGTGGGTGAGTGCATGTGATAGGGGCTGAGTCCCCTTGGGTGGGTTAGAGCAAGTGAAAGGGGCTGAGTCCCCTTGGGTGGGTGAGTGCAAGTGAAAGGGGCTGAGTCCCCTTGAGTGGGTGAGAGCAAGTGAAAGGGGCTGAGTCCTTTGGGTGGGTGAGTGCAAGTGAAAGGGGCTGAGTTCCCTTGGGTGGGTGAGTGCAAGTGAAAGGGGCTGAGTCCCCTTGAGTGGGTGAGAGCAAGTGAAAGGGGCTGAGTCCCTTGGGTGGGTGAGTGCAAGTGAAAGGGGCTGAGTCCCCTTGGGTGGGTGAGTGCAAGTGAAAGGGGCTGAGTCCCTTTGGGTGGGTGAGTGCAAGTGAAAGGGGCTGAGTCCCTTTGGGTGGGTGAGTGCAAGTGAAAGGGGCTGAGACCCCTTGGGTGGGTGAGCATGATGCTCATGCTTGTTTTGGTGGCACATGATGAGCCGTATGGCACTGATGCCTCCTGTTGCATGAGAGCATGATGCTCATGCTTGGTTGGTGGCACATGATGAGCCGTATGGCACTGATGCCTTCTGTTGCATGAGAGCATGATGCTCATGCTTGGTTGGTGGCACATGATGAGCCGTATGGCACTGATGCCTCCTGTTGCATGAGAGCATGATGCTCATGCTTGGTTGGTGGCACATGATGAGCCGTATGGCACTGATGCCTTCTGTTGCATGAGAGCATGATGCTCATGCTTGGTTGGTGGCATATGATGAGCCGTATGGCACTGATGCCTCCTGTTGCATGAGAGCATGATGCTCATGCTTGGTTGGTGGCACATGATGAGCCGTATGGCACTGATGCCTCCTGTTGCATGAGAGCATGATGCTCATGCTTGGTTGGTGGCACATGATGAGCCGTATGGCACTGATGCCTTCTGTTGCATGAGAGCATGATGCTCATGCTTGGTTGGTGGCATATGATGAGCCGTATGGCACTGATGCCTCCTGTTGCTTGAGAGCATGATGCTCATGCTTGGTTGGTGGCACATGATGAGCCGTATGGCACTGATGCCTCCTGTTGCATGAGAGCATGATGCTCATGCTTGGTTGGTGGCACATGATGAGCCGTATGGCACTGATGCCTCCTGTTGCATGAGAGCATGATGCTCATGCTTGGTTGGTGGCACATGATGAGCCGTATGGCACTGATGTCTCCTGTTGCATGAGAGCATGATGCTCATGCTTGGTTGGTGGCACATGATGAGCCGTATGGCACTGATGCCTCCTGTTGCATGAGAGCATGATGCTCATGCTTGGTTGGTGGCACATGATGAGCCGTATGGCACTGATGCCTTCTGTTGCATGAGAGCATGATGCTCATGCTTGGTTGGTGGCATATGATGAGCCGTATGGCACTGATGCCTCCTGTTGCATGAGAGCATGATGCTCATGCTTGGTTGGTGGCATATGATGAGCCGTATGGCACTGATGCCTCCTGTTGCATGAGAGCATGATGCTCATGCTTGGTTGGTGGCATATGATGAGCCGTATGGCACTGATGCCTCCTGTTGCATGAGAGCATGATGCTCATGCTTGGTTGGTGGCACATGATGAGCCGTATGGCACTGATGCCTTCTGTTGCATGAGAGCATGATGCTCATGCTTGGTTGGTGGCACATGATGAGCCGTATGGCACTGATGCCTCCTGTTGCATGAGAGCATGATGCTCATGCTTGGTTGGTGGCATATGATGAGCCGTATGGCACTGATGCCTCCTGTTGCATGAGAGCATGATGCTCATGCTTGGTTGGTGGCATATGATGAGCCGTATGGCACTGATGCCTCCTGTTGCATGAGAGCATGATGCTCATGCTTGGTTGGTGGCATATGATGAGCCGTATGGCACTGATGCCACGTGTTGTATGAGAGGTGATGGTCGTGAAATGCAACTGATTCGTGAGGGCGAGTGAGTGAGTGAATGAGTGAGAGTGGTGGTGAGGTGTGGTAGTGGGAGCCAGTGGTGAGGGTGGGTGGTGAGAGTGTGAGCGGTGAGAGTGTGAGCGGTGAGAGTGTGAGCGGTGAGAGTGTGAGCGGTGAGAGTAAGCATGAGGTTGGGTTGTTGCAATGGCGAGTGCATGGTGGTCGTGGTAGGAGGGAGTGAGTGCTGAGAGTATATGGCTAGACTGCTTGACTGACGAGAGTGAGTGGCTAGAGTGATTTGTTCGGAGTGGTGGGAGAGTGTTGTGAGAGTGATGGGCGGAATTCAGATGTTCAGGTTTAACATGTGAGTGCATGGTGATAGTGAGAGCAGAGGGTGGTGAGGGTGAGGGGCTAGAGTGGCGAGGTATAGTGTGGTGGGATTAGAGAGAGTGAGCAGTGAGAGTGAGTGGTGAAAATGGTGAGTGATGGAGGGGTGGGAGTGGCGAGGTGGTGAGATGGAGTGAGTGGTGAGAGTGAATCGTTAGAGGGAGTGGTCAATTTCAGTGGCAAAGAGTGAGTGGTGGGATTTAGTGGCGACAAATGAGTGGTGCAAGTGGGTGTAGAGTTTGAGATGTGAGGGGGGACAGGGAGTGAGTGGTTAGATTACAGTAAGAGTGGGTGGGTGGGTAGGTTCCTGTACTGGTGTACACTCACCATTGAATTAGATTGAGGAATGAGAGGGGACAGGGAGTGAGTGGCAAGGGTGCAGTAAGAGAGGGTGGGTAGGTTCCTGTACCACTGCACTCCCACCATTAATTTCTCTCTGCCGCGCATGGCCCCACTGGGTATCGTCGAGACACCCTATGATTCTATTCCATGAGCTCAAGTGAGACAATGTCATATATGTCGAGGTGAAATCTCGACTGTCAATTGTGGGCATGTGTTTCCCTTTGGGGTCTTCATGTATGGATTGGTGGTGTGAAAGTGTATATATCACATTCTGCGATCTGAGTGGGATCAATAGTGATACATTTTTCTGAGTCAATGTGGGAAAAATAGGTGAAACCCGCAGAGTGAAAAACTGCACACAGATGCCAATCTTTGTGACTAATTTTAGAGGTGTATATGTACTCAACAATCTCTCTGCACAAATACACTGCCACTGAGGTTGAAGCGATTCTCCTACCCTCGTTACACGGCCGACCCCTTTCAGTCTTGCCCCAAGAGATTGATGGAAGGCGTTCACCTCTTGAATTTGTCGCGAGCGCGCTTGGCTGACAGATCAACGAAAGGGAAACACATCACTCTTGACTGGCGACAAGAGTGAAAGCCTCTTTCTTGTTCGCGAAGGTACAGGCGACTGCGTCACACATGTTGGTGGTGCCGCTATTTAGGAACCACCTATTTAGGGTTTCCTTTACTTCCACTCTGTTAGCTAGCAGGACAACAGGACTGCCGATTTTAGGGTTCAGTAGAGGTTAGTTTACAGTACTACGCGCATGCGACGCTTATCTGGTGTGTTGTATTTTGTTCCATCCATCCCTTGTATGTATATTCCGCTCCCGTATTGATCGCCTAGAACATGATTAAACTGATTGTAGGCTAATCGTTTCGAGATCTTTCGTCGCCCTACTGATAAGTGCTGATAAGTTATCACTGCCTGCGTTCCGCGTGTGGTTCGTCCGGCAAGAGGAGGTCCGAGGTAGTACCTGATGGAAGTCATCCCCGTTATAGGGACGTGCAACAATGCCACACGGGAGAAGCACATGTCTAGGTGCGGCTTGCCATAGTAAAACGATTGGACTGTTCTCTAAAAGCTATCTCAAGGCCCCGGATTCTCTTGTTTTACTTCTTTTTCCAATTATTGCTAACGAGCCTCTCGCTCGTCTCCACATCACCCGTTCCGTTTGCAGGTGTATCGCAGATGAAGGCTGATTCGATATGATTTTATTCGAACAATCCTCTCTTTCATGGTTGATTCGTAACGGTTAAAACTTTCCATGGAAAGGTTTCGTGGTCTTCGCATTGACACGGCTCCAACTCCCGAGCAGCCACAGCCACAGCCGCAGCAACAGCATAGCTTCGTCAGGCCAGTTTATGCGACCTCAGGTTACACTGGTGCATCGGGTTACCCTAATTCGTCCGGAGGGAACGCTTCGTCTGGTTACCCCATCACGTCCGGTTTTCAGGGAACCAGTTATGGTGCTCCGAATAACGGTGGTTACACGGCCGGTTACCGTGGCCCGTACGGCACGTCGGCTGTCCCTGGCACAGCCGGTTACATCTCCCCGTACGGTTACAACTCCGGTTCATCTGCCTCCAACGCGTCGTACGGACCCCCGTACCGCGGACCGTCCCCGGGGGGGCCGCCCGCCTCTTCTTCCGCCGCTCCCGCAGCTGCACCTCCTTCCGCTTTTGTTTCCGCCATTGGCGCAACCCGGGGGGTGGGGGGCGGAGCAGCCGTCCCCGCGAGCGCAGCAGGCGGATTTGTGGGCGCAGGAAGAAGCGGAACCAACCCCGCATGGGAGGGCACGTCCGCCGCCTCTGCCGCCGCCGCCGCTATTCTGGCGGAAGCGAATAGAGACGAGGACCTGGGGGGGAGACGGAGCTACAGCCACAGCTACAACCAAGGCTACGTCCACGCGAGCGCGCAGAGTGCCAGTCAGGCGCACGCGCCAGGGGGAAACAGTCACGCGGCTTCCCGCGTGTCGTCTGCGCGCTCCTCTATAAGCAGCTCCAGTAACCGCAGCTCGCCGCGGTCCGACGCGACGGACAGAAGCGCGCGCAGAGCGAGGCGGAAAGCGTTTACCGCCAACGGAGCCGGCGTGGGGAACTCCGTCGTTTCCGCGTCCCTGTCCGCGGGCGCGGCGGACAGCGGGGGGAGCTCGGAGGGGAAGCGGAGAGAGAGGTCCGCCCGCGCGCGGTTACCGCGGAATGGCTCTGTGGGGAGCCTGGTCGGGGAGTCTTCTGGGGGGAATGGGTCCGGGGCGGTGGCGGGGGGTAGGGGGTCCGCGGAAGAGGACGGGGGAGCGCAGTCGCGGGAGCGGGGGCAGCTGGCGCATGGGCAGGCGCGCCCAGTACAGCCGCACTCGCTACAGTCGCACCCGCTACAACCGCACTTGCTACAGCAGGAGCATCAGCATCTGCATCATCAGCAGCAGCAGGCGCAGGTGCAGCAGCAGTACCATCACTATCAGCAACAGCAGCAGCAACAGAATCATGGGGGTGGGGATACTAGGCACGGGGGAAGCGCGGAGGCGCACGGGGGGGGAAGGGGGGAGGCGGACGGCGGAGCAGGCGGGGCGGGCGGAGGGGGCGGGGCGGGAGTGGTGGACTGGCGCGGGTGGAAGGTGACGCGGAGGTTGGAGTTTGAGGGGGCGGACTGCGCGCTGATAAAGGCATTCCTGGGGGACAGGGACGCGTGGGCGTGTCTGGAGGAGAGTGCAGCGAATCGAATCTACATCTTTGAGTATCTCAACACTGTTCGGACTTCCCATCCGGCGCTACTGCAGGTAAGTTTTATGTAGCAGCCGGTTAGCAGTCCCAGCAGTCGGCTAGCAGTCGGGGTGATCCTAGGCTTCACGTCTGGGGGAGAGTGCAGCGAATCGAATCTACGTCTTTGAGTATCTCAACACTGTTCGGACCTTGCACCTGGCGCTGCTACAGGTATGTGTGAGACGTTAGCGGTTAGCAGTCATGGCAGTCAGTTAACAGGTGGTAGCGATTCGAAAGCGATCTTCACGTTCGTAAGGGCGTTCGTAGGCTCCAAGTCTTAGGGTACCGATTAGGACACAACACCTCTTAGATTACCTTCAACAGGCGCAGAAGCGGGCGTTCAGACTTTCCACCCGGCTCAGAAACGGGCGGTAATATTTTTTACAGGCGTAGAAGGAGTAGCTGTTGGAAGAAAGAGGTGAAGTGACGGGCGGTGATATTCATTGCTCGTCTTCTCTTCCCTCTTCCCCCATTTTTTCCCTACCGCAGACCTACCAGTCAGTGCTGCTGTCGCACAACCTCTCAACGGAAGCTCTCAAGGCGCAGAGGCGGGAGGTGCTGCAGCTGTTTGCAGTGCTGCTGACGGCACAGGACGGGCTGTGGAAAAAGAGGCAGCTTCTCGACCTCATCTGCCACTCAGATCCCCCTCCCCCTCCCCATTTTCTCCCCCCACGATCCCCCTCCCCCTCCCCCTCCCGCTCCTCCCTGTTGCTTCTCTTCCCTACCACAGACCTACCAGGCGGTCCTGCTGTCCCACGGGCTGACCACGGAAAGCCTCAAGGCACAGAGGCGGGAGGTGCTGCAGCTGTTCGCAGTACTGCTCACGGCACAGGACGGGCTGTGGAAGCTCAAAAAGGGGCAGCTTCTCGACCTCATATGCCACTCGGACGCCTGGAGGAAAGCACAAGAAGCACAACAGTCACAAGCAGCACAACAGTCACAACAGGTGCAACAGTCACAACAAGTGCAACCGGCTCAACAAGCACAACAGCCGCAACCAGCACAAGTGGTTCAGAGAGGGGCGGTTGCAGGTGGGGATGGGCGGAGTGCGGTGGGAGAAAGGGTGGGTGAGGTAACAGGTGGTGCTGCGAGGGATGTGGTAGCTGGTGGGATAGCGGCAAGGGGTGTGGCAGCAATAGCAGATGCGGCTGTGCGAGGGGGAGTAGGAGCAGGACCGGGAGCAGGACCGGGAGCGACGACACAGACCAGGCCAGGTTCGGCATCCTCTCGGCCAGGTTCGGCGTCGTCAAGGCCAGGTTCGGCGTCGTCACGGCCAGGTTCGGCATCATCGCATCCAGGTTCGGCGTCTTCAGGACCAGGCTCGGGCTTGTCCAGGGGTGGATCAGGCTCGTCAAGACCAGGTTCGGCACAAGGGAGACCCAAAGAAGCCTCGGTTATAGCTGCAACATCAGCTGCTACAGCCGCAATCGCCACTGTTGCGAATGGCCCTGTGACTAGGGCTGGTGCTGCTGCTGCTGCTCCTGCTGCTTCTGCATCACCAGTGCCCATGTTCCGCCCGGCTCCCCCGTCCAGCAGCCCCCCAGCCCTCTCCCCTAGGCCCTGGCGCGGTAAAGCTGCTGCAACGCACACGCCCGCCGCTGCTACTGCTGCAACGCACGCGCCCGCTGCTGCTACTGCTGCAACGCCTGCAAACACTGCTGCGGTGGAAGCGAATCCAGCAGCTGCAGAAGCAGCGGTTACAGCAGCGACAGTCTCTGTTGCTTCTGCTGCTTCTTCTGCGTCTGCTGGTGCTTCTGCGAGTGAGCAGGAGGGAGGAGAGGGCATTTTCTCCTCCTCGTCCTCCATTCTCCCTTCCACTTTCTCCCTGTTCTTCAAACCTAAGATCCCTGCAGCTCCCACTTCCAGACCTCCCTCCTCGTCCACACAAACCCAAACCTCCACTCCAGGTTCGGTAATCAGCTCGGTCTCTTTTGCTAGTTTCGGTTCGGGCTTCACTAACCCTAACCCTAATTTCCGAACCGAAGCTGCTTCCGAAGCTAAATCCGAGCCTCCGGCACGAACCATGTCCGGAAGTGTAGCCGCCTTACAGCCTGTATTCAATCGCTCTTTAACAGAGCGGGTTCCTGCTAGTAGGAGTGCAGAAGGGGCAGCGGGGCAGTCAGTACCGGGAGGAACTCTATATGGGGGACAAAGAGGGACGTTGATTGCTCCTGTGGGTATACCACAAGGGGGAGCGGGGAATGGAGGTTATGGAGGGCAGGGGGGGCAGCAGCAGGGGGGCCAGGGGGGATACGGAGAAAGTGCATATGGAGGGGGAATGCAGAGTCTGGCACAGAGATTCGGTGCTGCTTTTGCACGCTCTTTCTCTGCAGGAAAGGAACTGGCTTCGGGTGCTGGTGGCGGTGGCGGTGGCGGTGGCGGTGGCGGTGGTGGTGATGATGCTTCTGTTGCTTCTTCTGCTGCTGCCAGTGGTGGTGGTGCTGCTGCTGCTGGTGGTGGGGGTGGGCTAGTGAGTGCGTTAGCAGCTAGAAAACAGCCGCCACAGCAGCAGTACCTGCAGCAGCAGTATCAGCAGTCTCAGCAGCAGTACTCTCAGCAGCAGCAGCAGCAACAGCAGAATTATGGCCGCAGGCTAGACCTAGGCCCGTTGTCCCCGTTAGAAGAGCAGAGGGATGAGCTTAAACCGGAGCCAAACGGTTTCATCCGCTCCCAGACCCTGTGGGTGGGCAGGGGCGCTAGGGGCGGGATCCCCCCCGCTAAAGCGCCAGTTGCTTCTACCGCAGCTGCTTATAGAGAGAATGCAGCCTCTACTGCCTTTGCCAATGCCAATCCCACTGCCAATGCTGCTGCTGCTGCTGCTGCTCCGGAATTTGTTCGGTCTAGTACCCTATGGGCTGGGAGGGCTGCGCCTCCTACTGTGGCTGCTGGAGCCGCAGAGAGAGGGCTACAGATGGGTCGGATGCCCGGGTTAGGAGAGAGAACGATGAGCTTAGGGGGACGGACTCTGAGCTTGGGAGGGAGGAATCAGAGCCTGGGGGGCGTTGTGAGGGGGGCTTCACTGGTTAAGATTGTACCTGTGAGAATGGAGGAGGAGGATGAGGATGAGGAGGAGGAGGAGGATTTGTATGGAGAGGGGTATGGAGAGGAGGAAGAGGAGGAAGATTTGTACGGGGAGGAGAGTGGGGGTGTGGTGGGAGGGGGAGTGAGGGAGGAGGGAGAGGAGAAGGGAAGTGTGGAGGGGAGGGAGGTGAATGGGGTGAGTGAAGGGGAGGAGGAAGGGGAGAGTGGGGAGGAGAGTGAGGGAGATGGGGAGAGCAGGGGTGGTGGAGGGAAAGAGGAGGAGGATGAGGGGGGAGGAATGGGGGTGCTTAGACTGCCGAGTATTCGAGTGGGGGATATGAGGAAAGTAATGCTGGAGAAACGAGTACAGCAGGAGTGGGAGGTGCAGCAACAACAGGAGCGGCAACAGCAGCAGCAACAGCAGCAGCAGCAGCAGCAGCAGGAAGGGGAGGGGGAAGGAGAAGGGATATTAAGATTGCCGAGTATACGTGTGGGGGATATGAGACGAGTAATGCTGGAGAAACGGAAACAGCAGGAGAGAGAATTGCAGCTGCAGAGAGAGAGAGAGGCATTGCTGCTGGAGCAACAGAGGCGGCAGCAGGAGGAAGAGGCGTGGCGGAGAGAGCAGCTTAAGAAGCAGCAGGAGGAGGAGGAGTGGTGGCAGCAGCGGCAGCAGCAGCAGCAGAAGGAGGAGGAGGAGCAGCAGAAGCAGCAGCAGCGGCAGCAGGAGAGCAGCAGAAACCACCGAATTCAGGGCGATTTAGGAAAATCCGATGTGTATAGATCGTGTAGCAATGGTAGTAGTGCTGTTGACGCCCCTTCGGTTATCCGGCACAGTTCTGGAGAGTCTTCTAACGGGGATGCGGGCAGTTGTAGTGTTATAGACGCGCCTTCTGTGATCAGACACAGTTCTGGAGAGTCTTACAACGAGGATCATGCTAGTGATGGTGGGAAAAGTCGCAGCAGCAGAAGCAGAACCAGAAGCAGTGGTGGCAGTCAAGATAGTGAGGAGGATAGGGGGAGTGATAGGAGCAGCAGGAATAGCAGCAAGAAGGGCAGCAGCAGGGGAAGCAGCAAGAGCAGCAGGGAGAGCAGCAGGCTGAGCAGAGGGAGCAGCAGCAGAAGGAGCAGGTCAGTTGGTGCTGAGAGCAGCAGGAGCAAGGGCAGTGCTAGTGATGATGGTGCCAGTTCCCATAGCAGTAACCACAGCAGTAATCACAGTAGTAACCATAGTAGTAACCATAGTAATGGCAGTGGTAGTGAGAGTGGCAGTGGCAGGGGCAGTGGCAGTGACACAGATGAAGGGGGTAGTGGCAGTGACAGGGGCAGGGACAGCGGTAGGGACAGCAAGTCTGATACGGGTGATGACAGGAGCAGTTGCAGCGAGGGTGGTAAGAGCAGCAATGATATCCAGAATGGGGGCAGGAGGAGCAAGAGGCGCAGCAGCAAGGGCAGCAGAGGGAGCAGTGGCAAGAGCGGAAGCAGCAGCAGGAGCAGCAGCAGTGGCAGGAGCAACAGCAGCAAGAGGAGGAGGAGGAGGAAGGGAAAGGGCAGAAGCAGCAGCCAAGAAAGCTTGCATTCTGTCAGGGATTCCCCCAGTAGAAGCAGCGGTAGGAGCACCAGTTGTGGTGACACCAGTGCTACTGGTGCACCTGCAGAGGGAAAGGGCAGGAGCAGCAGCCAAGAAAGCGTGCATTCTGTCAGGGACTCCCCCAGTAGAAGCAGCAGCAGGAGCAGCGGTGTTGGTGACAGCAGTGCTGCTGGTGATAGCAGTGCTGCTGGTGCACCTGCAGAGGGGGTTCCAGAAGTGTTTCAGGAGGATGGTGTGGCCTCTTCTGTTGGGAACGATGGGACTTCAGTTGATGCCGCACCTGCTGCTGCCACTGACACTCCTGCTGCCACTGTCTCTGCTACTGCTGTGCCCTCTCCTCCCACTGCTGATTCTGCTGGTGGTGTTTCTGGTGATGATGATGCTGCCACGGCTAGTGTTAGTGCTGCTGCTGCCACTGATGCCAGTGAAGTTGTATCCGTAACTGATGTTGCTGATGCTCCTGCTAGTGTGATTGGTGGTTCTGTTGCAGCAATAGATGTTGCCGATGGGTCTGCTGCTACAGATGCTGTTGCTGCTGCTTCTGCTACAGATGCTGCTGCTGCTAGAGATGAAACTCCTACTACTACAGATCCCACCATTGCTGCAACAGATCCCACCACTGCTGCTACAGATGCCGCCCCTGTTGCTACAGATCCCACCGCTTCTGCTACAGATGGCACCGCTGCTACGGATGGCACTGCTTCTGCTACAGATGTCACAACTGTTGCTACAGATGCCACAGCTGCTGCTACAAATGACACCTCTGTCACTGGTGGTTCTGCTCCTGTCACGCTCGCCCCTGCTGACCCTTCCAGTGCTACAGCCGCTCTTCTCCCAGCTATCCCTGCAACATGCGCCCCTGCTGCTGTTCAACCTGCTACATCCGCCCCTGCTACTGTTCCCCCTGCTACATCCGCCCCTGCTGCTGTTCCCCCTGCTACATCCGCTGTCCCTCCTGCTGCTACATCCGCTCCCACTTCTCCTGCCCCCATCTCTCCTGCTGCTGCTACAGCCGCCCCTGCCATCATCCCTGCTCCTGCCGCTACAGCCGCATTCACCGCCTCGCTGGCGAGCGGCGCTGCTGCCACGTCTGTAGCGGCAGCCAAGGCTGCTCAAGCACTAGCAGCCTACAAACGCTCCTCCACCCCCCCCAGGAGCCCTGTAGACCACGACACGTGGGATTCGGGGGAGGAGGAGGAGGGGGAGGGGAGCGGGGGGTGGGGGGGAGCTGTGGGGAGGAAAGGCAGGGCTGCGAGCTATGGGGGAGTGACTGGTGCGGAGCGAGGGGAAGGGTCAGGGGAAGGTGGGAGAGTGATAGGGGGATCGTTAGGTGGGGGGGTTGGGGAGATGGCAGGAGGGGGACTTGGAGGAGAGTCGGTGATAAGTGCAGGAGGGGAAGGGAGAGGAGTGAGGGGAGGAGAAGGAGCAGAAGGAGCAGGAGGAGCACGAGTAGACACGCATGTTCCAGGGGCTAGTGTGGCTGGTGGCAGTGCGGTTGGTGACGGTGTCATGGATAGCAGTGCGGTTGGTGGCGGTGCTGCTGGTGGCAGTGCGGTGTGGCAGGGCAAAGAGTGGTTGGGAGGGGTGGAGGTGTTTGGCAGTGCCATTGACAACATGTGGAGCCCGCTTCCTGTGTTCATGGGGGGGAATGCAGGCGCACAGTCACAGTTCAAATCCCCCCGTACAGTCACACAGGGAAAGTCATGGTCACAGTTTAAAGCTCCACATACAAGCACACAGTCACAGTCACAGTCACAGTTCAAAGCCCCACAGCCTGCCATTCACTCACAGTCTCGATCACAGTTAGCATCAAATCAAGCGATTCCGGGGACAAGCAGTCAGCAGCACAAGCCCCCACACAGAACAACTAGCCGCTTTGACTCTGGACCCACCTCTCTTACCACCCCTGCTAATACAATGACTCACACTGATATAATCACACCCACCAGTGTAGTCACACCCACATTTCCCACCCCTAACAGCCTAACACCATCATCATCATCAGTCGCAGCAGCAATAGCCGCATTCTCAAACCCATCTGCCCTTGCTATTTATCCGGTCACCCCATCAACTAGTGTAATTAGCGGGATTACCCCATCCAGTGGTGTAGCAAATAGGGTTACCATACCCGTTACGCCGTCGAGTGTAGTTTCTGGTTACACCCCGGTTGCTCCTCTCCGCACCCCTCCTTCCTTCCTGGCTCGCCAAAACTCCGCCCCGCCAGCTACCCCTATGGGAAAGCCTGGGGGGTTTGCCCCTGTTTGGGGTACTGATGCTGGCACTGCTGGAACTGCTGGTGTTGCCGGTGCTGCTGGTGTTGGCAACACAAACGCTGCTGCTGCCGCCACTGCAGCTGGCGCTACAGCTGCTGCTACAGCCAGCGATACAGCCCGCTCTGCTCGCCATCTCTTTGCCACAGAGCTACAATGCATGGTGTGCGGCCACGTGGACCTCTGCCAGCTGGACGCCAGCCTGGCGCGTGACGTGGCGGAGCTCCACGCGTTCCTGTGCCCCGGCGGTGATGCCAGCAGCAGCGGCGGCGGCAGCGGCAGCAGTGGCAGCAGCAGCAAGAATAGTGGCAATAGCAGCAGCAGCGGCAGCAGCAGGAGCAAAACGAGTGAGTGCATGCAGCACGGCTCTGCTCTGCTCCCCCGCACGGCCCTCCACACCCGTTTCCTGGCCGTGCCCACTGCTCTCAGACGCAGGCAGAAGCAGGTGGAGGAGAGACAGGGGCAGAAGCGGCAGGTGCAGCCGCAGGTGGGGCAAAAGGAGGGGGAGAAGGAGGAGGGGGAGAAGGAAGGGCAGCAGGAGGGGAGGAAGGAAGGGCAGAAGCAGGGGAAGCAGGAGGGGTGTTTGGTGCTGCAGGCACTGCAGAGAGGGGTGTGGAGGAATAAAGGACTTACGCACGATGGGCTGCAGCAGCTGGGAGTGGGAATGCTGCAGGTATAGTCTTTTTTTCGAGAATTAAAAAAAAAAAGGGACTGCTGCAGGTATTATCTGTTTTCTGAGAATTCTGAAAAAAAAAAAAAAAAAAAAAAGGAATGCTGCAGGATGTTTTCCTACCCCTCCTCCCCGCCCCCTTTCCTCCTCCCCGCCCCATTTCCTCCTCCCCGCCCCCTTTCCTCCTCCCCGCCCCATTTCCTCCTCCCCGCCCCCTTTCCTCCTCCCCGCCCCCTTTCCTCCTCCCCGCCCCCTTTCCTCCTACCCGCCCCATTTCCTCCTCCCCGCCCCCTTTCCTCCTCCCCGCCCCCTTTCCTCCTCCCCGCCCCCTTTCCTCCTCCCCGCCCCCTTTCCTCCTCCCCGCCCCCTTTCCTCCTCCCCACCCCCTTTCCTCCTCCCCGCCCCCTTTCCTCCTCCCCGCCCCCTTTCCTCCTACCCGACCTGTCTTTCTCTTCTCCTCTCCCCTCTGCTTTCAGATTCTCGCATCTATCCTTCGGCCACTGCTGTGACTGGCATGGCTGTCAAAAGACGAGCTGGTAGTTTCCTTATACCGTTCCCCCTCCCTTTTTCCTCCTCCCCTCCCTTCCCCTCTTCCGGGAGTGGCGTGGCTGTCAAAAGATGAGCTGGTGGGAACCGTGGTTGCTTATACTGTTTCCGCTCCCCCTCTCCTCCTCCCCTTTCCATCCCTTGCTTGCAGATTCTCGCTTCCATTCTTAAGCCGCTCCCTGGCGTGGCGTGGCTGTCAAAAGATGAGCTGGTGGGAATCGTGGCTGCTGAGAGGGTGAGGAGGGAAGGGGAGGAGAGAGAGAGGATGGAAGAAGAGGAGAGGAGCAGGAGGGAGGGGGAGGAGAGAGGCAGGAGGGAAGAGGAGGAGAGTGAGAGGAAGGAAGAGGAGGAGAAGGAGAGGAAAGAGAAGGAGGAGAGGGAGAGGAGGGAAGAAGAGGAGAGGGAGAGGAGGGAAGAGGAGGAGAGTGAGAGGAGGGAAGAGGAGGAGAGTGAGAGGAAAGAGGAGGAGAGGGAGAGGAGGGAAGAAGAGGAGAGGGAGAGGAGGGAAGAGGAGGAGAGGGAGAGGAGGGAAGTGGAGGAGAGGGAGAGGAGGGAAGAAGAGGAGAGGGAGAGGAGGGAAGAGGAGGAGAGGGAGAGGAGGGAAGTGGAGGAGAGGGAGAGGAGGGAAGTGGAGGAGAGGGAGAGGAGGGAAGTGGAGGAGAGGGAGAGGAGGGAAGAGGAGGAGAGGGAGAGGAGGGAAGCGGAGGAGAGGGTGAGGAGGGAAGTGGAGGAGAGGGAGAGGAGGAAAGTGGAGGAGAGGGAGAGGAGGGAGGGGGAGGAGAGGAACAGGAGGGAAGAGGAGGAGAGGAACAGGAGGGAAGAGGAGAGGAACAGGAGGGAAGAGGAGGAGAGGAACAGGAGGGAAGAGGAGAGGAACAGGAGGGAAGAGGAGGAGAGGAACAGGAGGGAAGAGGAGGAGAGGAACAGGAGGAAAGAGGAGGAGAGGAACAGGAGGGAAGAGGAGGAGAGGAACAGGAGGAAAGAGGAGACCACTGCAGCTGCTTCTGCTGCTCCCGCTGCTCCTCCTCCTGCTCCTGCTGCTCTCCTTTCCACTCATCCTGTTGCTCTCCTTCCTACTGCTCCTCCTGCTGCTCCTCCTGCCACTGCTCCTCTAGCTGCTACATTGATGCACCCTGCTACAGTGGCACATCCCGCTACAGTGACTCATCCTGCTACAGTGGCGCACCCTGATACAGTGGCGCACCCTGATACAGTGGCGCACCCTGCTACAGTGGCGCACCCTGCTACAGTGGCGCATCCTGCCACAGTGACGCACCCTGCTACAGTGGCGCATCCTGCTACAGTGGCACATCTTGCTACAGTGGCGCATCCTGCTACAGTGGCGCATCCTGCTACAGTGACACACCCCATCATAGAAGCACAAGCAATCACCACAGCTTCACACCCACCTGCAATAGCACCTTCTATAGTCACAACATCACACTCAAACGCAATGGCACCAGCTATTGTCACAGCTTCGCACTTAACCCCAATAACACCCATGACAGCTCCTGCTACAGTCACAGCTCCTTACCCACCTGTGCAAGCACCTGTATTAGTCACAGCCCCACACTCAACCCCAATAGCACCTGTTATAGTCACACCATCACACCCACCTGCTATAGTCACAGCTCCACACCCACCAGCTTCTGTACTGAGACCCAATCCAGCAGGCAGCATCCACGTCAGCTCTTCCTTTCATATCTCTTCTGTTGCTACTTTTGGCAATGCTGATCTTGGTGCTGGTGCTGCTGGTACTGGTGCTGTTGCTACAGCCCGACTTGCCCCCATCAATGTTAACCCCACCCTGCCTGCACCCGAGCAGCTGAGCTCTTTTCAGGAAGCTTTTCAGAGCGGTGCAGGTGGTGTTGAGAGTGGTGTAAATGGTAGCACTGAAAACGGCTCCCTTGGCCAATTAGAGGCTCGGGCACTGGCAGCACTAGAAGACGATCTTAGCTTCAATGCCAAGGCTGCGGTTCAGGAGCAACGGGCTGCTGCAGAGGCTCGGGCAGTCCTTGCCGAAGCTGAGGAGCAGCTTCGGCGAGCACAGGCTGCAGTGAACCAAGCCAGGGCTGCTGCCTCAGAGGCAACCCACCGGGCCGAAGCTGCTGCAGCAGAGGCTCGGGAGGAGATGGGCCAGCTGGCGGAGGCTCGGGAGCAGGTTCGGAGGAAGGCTGAGGAGTGTCGGCGTGCGTGGGACCGCCACATCAGCATCGTGCGCCAGCTGGCAGCTGTATCCCCTGGCGCGTGTGGCAGGAAATCTTATTCCAGAAGGCGTAAGGAGGAGTTTGAAGCGGCAGCAAGGAGTTATGAGGAGTACTTGACGCTGTGGGAGGAGCTGGAGTGCATGGGGCGAGGGAGCCTGCCAGAAACGCCACAGGCACAATAATGCTGCAATGGTGCTTGCATATGCAAGGCCTTGTTGTTCAGTCAGGAATGACTGCGATTGGGGAGTATTTGGCATGGTGGCAAGAGATTCTCTTCGAGTATTTCTGCTTGTTGGAATAGCTTGGATCTAGCGAGGGTGCGTGGAGGGTGCGTGTATTGCCACAAGCATAACAATGCTAGATGGCAAGGGGAGGGAGGAGCAAGCAGCAGCGAAGTGAGCTTGAACCTGTGGGGCATGGGGTGGTGTGTGGCTGAAATGCCTCAGGTACGCTCAGGTCTGCATGGGGAGGGGAGGAAGGTGCTGCAGCCCTTGTGTTTCTGAGTTTGCAAGGAGGTTGAATCCATTCGGCTGGGTGGTGTTTAGATGTTTACAGGCACGGATAACCTGAATAACAAGCCTATGTTGGGGTTACACATAGGAGGGGAGTGTCTGACCTTACAGTAGGAGCACAAGTAGGTGCGTCCACTAGGGATAGGACGATGAGTGCTGGTGCACCTATTCTAATGAGCTTTGTAAATATAGCTGCAGTTTATGAAGTCGGATTTACTCCATTCTGAGTGGGTAGTTGAGTTGGAGAAAGATTTAATACCCTGGCCATCCCTGACTTTATAGCGCATGAGCACCATACACTCTGGGATGGCATCTTTAAATATGTAGTGGTATACTTGCTGGCTGGCTGGTTGTGAGGGTGCTCATTCACTACGTATTGAACACCACTCACGAGATAGCATTACAGTTATAGACTTCACATTTCTGCAACCCAAGAAGCACAGCAAGCTGCAAACCTGCAGCCGTCATAGACAGGCAATCGCTGCAAGCCTGCAACACAAATGGGCAAAACTAAAACTCCAGGCAATGGCAAAGCCTGCATGCATCATAACGGCATACAGGAACGTAACCTGCTGTACAAGGAAAGGCGGATGTACGCGATACAGGCGGATGTAGGCGGATGTAGGCGGATGTACAAAGTTACCGAAGGTTGGTAATCTCTAGGAGATTGATAGCGTCTTCGAATCCATTGAGGAAAATCGGAGCAGTCAAATGCCACATGCCGGTTGCGAGTGAAGCAGCCTCGGAAAAAGAAATACAGCTTGACGGGATACGTAACGGCACCGGCTCCGCGAGTATCCCCGTTATAGACATTAATCTCTCCCAGATGCGAGCATCATTCTCCACTGATCGTCCTCCTCCTTCTCGTTGCCGAATGATCTCGCGCGGACAATCACGTCTTTTCCCGACGGAGGTGACGCTTCGAGCGGAGGCGAGAGGCGGCGCTGACGACGGCGGAAGAGCTAAATGCCTTGCCGACGCTCTTGTCTCGCGTGAGAATGACCCTCAGCCACGGTGCCGTCGCCATGTCGGAATTAATTTGTCGAACAGAAAGGTAACCCGGGACAAAGGTATTCCTTGAATGATTAACTCAAGGGATTGAGCACAAGAGTATTCCCTGAATGGTTCTTATTTTTCAAGGGATTGTCACTCAATTCCAACAATGAAATATTCAGAGTGCAGGGTACTTCTGTCCTATCCAAGTTATAAGCTCGGATAAAGAATACTATGGCAGGCGGAGCGAGCAGGCAGAGGTGGAGAGAGTGGAGAGGAAATGGAGGCAAGAGCGTTTATGTACAGGCGAAGGGTAAGGGAGGAGGGTGGTGGGTGGGGTGAAGCTGGAATGACAGTGGGAAAGAGGTCAGCACGAAGCCACAATTTCCGATAACGCAGGCAACGGGACTTGAATATGAGAAGGGTGCAGCAGAGCAATGGGGATTGAACGGGGTAGGGTGGGGTGTGTTACTGCATCGCGGAAAAGGAAGAAGCACATTTCAGGGGTCCGTAGGTTTTTCTACGAAAAAGCATACAAAAAGTCCCATACAGTACACAAAAGACCCCAAACCACATGTGACGCAAATGTCACATTTTGGGTTTTCCCCTTATACACTTTTCGGCCTTTGGATGCTCGCACTGCACATTTCAACGGACCGCACATTTGGGATTCCCGCCAGGGCTGATTTTATCAGGGTAATTACCCTGATTTCAGGGTGATTTCAGGCTTTCCACTTTGCGGAGACTGAGATTTCAGAATTACTGAGTTCTCAACCCTGTTCAAATCAGAGTAATAGTTTTCATATCCCTGATTTACAGTATAGTGTAACAGACTCGCCTGTTAGTGGATCCTGACTTAATAGGGTATCGAATTTGTGGTCCCTGATTTTGACCTTATCGAGAGGAAGTTTCTTGGAAATTTCCTTACGATATCCCCCTTCGGGTTGATTGCAGTACAGCCAGCGCGTGAGCGACGGACAGCAGCATGTCTGACAGTCGAGTACACTCGATGTTTGTTGTTTTCACGAATTGCGAATAAATTGCTCTACTGTCGCATTTGCGTCTGCGTGAAGTTACCAGAACTTATTTGCTTTTCGCACAGCGATGTTGGCGACATTCAGGTACTCGGCGAATTAAAAACTTGACACATCTGTGGTATCGAATCGAAATGTTAAAACGTGTGGATAAATACTAGTTTGTAAAACTAAACGGGCGGAAATTAGCGCGCTCACGGTGTGCGCGAAACACAGAGCGCAGACTTTACGCAGAGCGAGACTTTTTCCCCTGTAACAAAGGGTGCGTTACTACTCTGATCTTCGTTTCTCGACCCTGAACAACCAGAGTTGTATACTTTTCAACCCTGAGCAATCAGGGTAGCATCATTCTGAAAAATGTGCACTCATAATTGAGGGGAAAATTTTTCCCCGGAAGCAGGGAGGCCTAATATGAAACGTCAGCCCTGATTCCCGCGCCAATGTAAAATCCCCGCCGCACATTTTTCGCCATTCAGCGACCACTGCTAATTGGGCTCGTCTGTTGTGTGTCTACGCAATTAGGAATGTCAACGTAAGATACACTACCGTCTTGCTCAACCCACATATTCTGCATACAATACTCTTCAATAGTGTTGTGTGGTCACCATCACGTGATTTTGGTCATCGCCCTTTCACACATAATCAGCGTCAATTGCGTGTCACACGGTGCGACAAGTCACTGAACTGTTCCGTGAACCCAGCGATTCAAACCCACTCATCTTCACTCGGTCAGCAGGAACCTGTTGAGCAGCATGACACGCTTGTCCACATAAGACATGCAAATGTGCACCACCCTCTGGATGCACTCTACGTCCACCACAGCATACCTTGTCCTCACACGGCCGGGTGTCAACTGCAAGCAAGTTGTCATCGGGCACGTGCCCTCCGCCTCGTAGTACTTCACGTACACGTGCCTCCCCATCTCTCCATCCACCCCCTTTGTCCTGAAGATGCATAGGCACCTTGCGTACCACTCTCCCTCGTCAGGGTTAAGCACGGCCACGTCTGAAAACCACTTCTCTGATGGGCTTGCCTTCACAAACGTACCCTTCGGCACAAGCTCCCCGCCTCTTGTTCGGGGTATCGCCACAGCGGTGTGCACCTGCGCATGACGGTCAACATGAGGGCAATTCTGGTGACTGTACCCACAAGTACCAGGACTCTAGCACGAGCGGCCCACGATAGTGGTCCACATGCCACACGAAAATGCATAAAAGCCGGCCTCACCGCGATGGATGGCGACGGGAGGCCTGCCGCCCTCATGCAGCCTGCGAGTGCGTCCATGTCGGACCCATGTGCCTCGCGATACACCCACATAACCGCGTCCAGGTCCTCGTCCACATTGGCCGGACGTGATTTCTTCGTCAGGACGGGTTTGCGCGTCTGTACAGCCTGTGTGCACACGGATTGTGATACAGTCGCTTAATGATTCCATGAGGTTACCGCACTCCGACACAATACGTCATGCTACATGGTGTCGCAGACTGCATGCCGTGTACTGCAACTACCTCGCGCAGCGCCGTCACATACTGCCTGTTGCCGCCTGCGTCCGCGGACACCTCCCGCGCTATCTCGCGCTGCACCTCCTCCTCGATAATGCGGCGTGGAATGTCCTGCCAGTTGCTTCCTCGCACCGGCACCTTCACTGTGCCCTTGTGTGTGTGCTCCCATAGGTTCGTGGATGTCTCGTGCGTCAACCCACGCATAGGGATGCCGGCAATCAGGTGCACAATCTGGTGCACCTTCGGGATGTTCCAGCCTGAGATCTGGTCGGGAAACGCAGCGACGATTGCCGCCATCATTCTGCACAGCGACACGTGAGGCGGATATAAGTCCGGATGTAATGGCACATCACATTTCAGCACATGTCGTTGCACACCACTCCCCATACTACACCTACACATTCCTACAATTTGAAAGTTTAGTGCACACCAGGGTCTGCACGAATCACGGAACTTACGTCACTGCCATTGCTCTGACGTCGTCCAGTGTGTCGTCCGTGTGCTTTGTCACGCCGACAAGCGCCTTGTAGAAGCTGGCGTATGCCACAAACGCCGCCACCTCCCGTTGCCGTTTCTCCTTCTCCGCTGGTTTGCTCCTCGCCATACTGTCGGCAATCAGCAAGGGCATCACCTGAATCATCCCCCTGTGCTCGAAGGCTGCGTAGTTCGCCCCACTGCTAAACCATGTGGCCCCTCCTGGTATGCGCACCACACTTGCGCGCGTGTCCTTCTTTTGCTCCTTGCGGCGCCTGCCAACCCACCCATCTACGGTCAGCCACGTGCATTGCATGTTCATCACGCGGCAGCTAGAAATATCCGGATGAGAGCGTACACACCTCTCAAATTCCCTTCGCTCTGGCTTGCTCTTCCCCACCATGAAGCACTTGCCCATGCGTGGGAGCATGCCTGCGTCCAGGACGTGAAGAAGGTCCGCGGCGCATGCGAGGAACACGTTGCCCCATGTTGTCTCTGCGAAGTTCCACCTCTCCAAGTAACACTGCTGCTCATGTACATTGACACACTAAGATGGGCATTGACACACGCTGAAGTCCAGGGTTTCTTAGTGTGGTACTCGGTTCTCACCTGCACCGGGTGCGTCAACCATTGCTTTTTGATTTTCTCGGCCGCCTTAGAGTCCGGG